ATTAAATACCATGAGATAGCCCAACAAACACTTAACTTAAGTTATACGTTAATAAATATTTTTAATATTTTATATTTTAAGATTGATTCTAGTAAAAGTTAATTTTTGCCCCAACAAACCCCAAACCCCAGGCTTGTAGATTACATTGGTTTATTAAGTCTCCTATAGGATAATTGTTATTATCAAAATACACCATTATATAATTAAATATATTTTTTATCATTTTAAGATTTATATTTGAAACAGGAGTTGGCATTTATTATTTTTAAATTTAACAATGTTTAAATTTAAAAAAGATAAGATTTTATGTTTTAAAGCTATAAAATTAATAATTTTGACGATTACAAAAGATTTAATAAGATAGAGGTCTCAATTCCCCTTCATCTAATCTTATTTAAAAAAATTTAAAATTATCAACATATTTTTTTAGCGCTGGAAAGGGTTAATCATATCAGTAACAAGGGGCTAGTAGAATTAGGTCGAATTAATTATATTATGGTTAAAAATATGATATAATAAGTATTCATTGGCTATTATAGCTTTAAATTCTATTTTTTTCCCTTTAACTTTCACCTTTTCTGGTGGTTGATAATCAAAAGAATTAGAAAAAAAATTAAAAAATTCATTAAAACTTTATCACATTTTGAAATTTTTTGTGAATTATTTATATACAAATGGTGTATTATTGATAATAACAATTATCCTATAGGAGACTTAATAAACCAATATAATCTACAAACCTGGGGTTTGGGGCTTGTTGGGGCAAAAATTAACTTTTACTAGAATCAATCTTAAAATATAAAATATTTATTAATAGGGTCTTTTGTAAAAAACGACTTAATCTAATCGTTAAAAAAATTGAGTATACCAAATTCCACATATTTTTTAATAAAATACGAATTTCATAAATAACAAGTGACGTGTTTTAGAGGTAAATAATTTTAAAACGCTACTTTAAATCAATATGGACAATTAAGCTAGTTCTCTGGTTTTTTGGAACTTAATAAATGGGTTAAATATAATTTTGTCAAATATAAATCACTATTGCATTGTGATAATGTTAGTTGTAATGCATTCGCGATATTGCATTCGCTATGATACATTCGCGATAATACATTCGCTGTAATGCATTCGCTATAATGTTTTCGCGGTAATGCATTCGCTATAATGCATTCGCTATAATACATTCGCTATAAAACATTCGCTATGATGCATTCGCGATAATGCATTCACGGTATTACATTCGCTGTAATACATTCGCTATAATGTTTTCGCGGTAATGCATTCGCTATAATGCATTCGCGCTAATATATTCGCTATAATACATTCGCTATGATGCATTCGCGATAATGCATTCGCGGTATTACATTCGCTGTAATGCATTCGCTATAATATTTTCGCGGTAATGCATTCGCGCTAATATATTCGCTATGATACATTCGCTATAATGCATTCGCGGTAATGCATTCGCTATAATATCTTTTCGCGGTAATCGACATTCGCGATAATACATTCGCGATAATACATTTCGCGGTAAAAGTTTCGCGGTATTGACGTGATACGCATTTTATGTTGGTAAATTCATGTACCTACTTTTGTATATACACTTATTTATTACTACTATATTATTATAGCGCAAGCAAATAATGTAATTGGTAATCCTCTAATATATTTACTTTACCCTACCCTCCTCCTCAACTTATTGTTAAGATACAAACTTGGCTTGCTTAACTTAACCCCATCAAAATATTGAATAAGTTCCAGTTTATCTATTAACTATGTTCATATTAGATGATAAAATTGATTAGCATTTACATGATATGTATTAGATGATTAAATAGAGTATCCTTATGAATAGTTTGGCGAACAAACACAGCGCTCTCAGATTAGGAGGTGGTTAAAGAGGAAAAGGTCAAAAATAATACCCTATTGAACAATATTTCATTAGCTAGGCCTCATACATAGGCTATATAATTATAATTATATTTCTGATTAATTATAATTTTCAATTTTTACGGGCTCATTTCCCAGTTCCTATTTGGAGTTGAAGACTAAAATTTTATTTTTTCTTATTTATGATATATGCAAAATATTTATTATAGGGGAGACCGGGGTTATATTGTCCATAAAAAATTGAGAGGCTGTGAAAAGGAGGAGAAATAATTTATCAAAATAATTTTGATGTTATTTTATTCTTTATATAATTATCTACGGTAGAAATTAATATCTAATAAAAAAATATTATATATTTTTTTAAATTTAAATTTAAAAAAAATGAAAATTTTTGAGTCATGAAAAAGAGACGGGGGATGTATTGTCCTTTTGTGGGGCATGTTTTATACTATCATTTTCTAAGCATTTTATTCATTTTTTTCATATAAAAATCATAACAAACATATAATATTAACATACAACACATTTATTACATATAAAAAATGGATTAAAATCACAACATGATCCATGTGCCCATAAATGACAATCCAATCTTCATTATGGTGGTGAGTTTGATAGTTTTTGTGGCACACTAAACAAAATTCTTTTTTGCCAGCATTCATATTTAAACTTTTTTTATTATTGGTTTGATTTTTTTTTCAGATTAGCCCTAGATCTGGCTATTTTTTTGTAAGGTGAAGAGGGGAGGGAGAGTCAATAGAACTATACCACTGTCAGAGCACAGCTCAATGACTTCAATAGATTGGTGAGATTTATGATTATCTAATATAAGCAAAACTTTTTTATCTTGACTGGGCTTAGTGTATTTTATAAAATGATTTTAAAAATATATTAAATCTTCAGCCAGCATCCACCCAGAACCATTATACACGCCAATGCATCCTACAGGGCCATCTCTTAAATAATGATCATAAAATTTTTTCCTGGGATATATAAACATAGGTGGAATAGAATTTCCTAGAGCATTGACAGCAATTGCCAAGGTCATAAGTGTACCACATTCTGATGTAGTAATTGCCACAACCTGTTTTTCGCCTTTCCTTGCAATAACTTTATTAGGCCGTTGAACTGTTGTTAATCCTATGAAAATATTAAAGATTTGCTATCATTTATATTTTAATTAACCAGTTTCATCCATATTATATATATCACATGGTAGAAAGTTATTTTCCCTTGTGACAGTCAAATAATTAAAAAATAAATCAACCATTTTCATATTAAAATTGGTAGCCCTGGCTATACTTGTTGTAGCCTCTGGTGTTCTCAAAGAAATGGTTGGATTTCTTTTAATAAATGCTCCAACCCAGTCTTCACCAGCTGATTGAGTTATTTCACAAGATTTTGGTACTTGTAAACTATACCTCTTGGCCATTTGATAAGCTAAAACTCTAACCTAAATTTAAACATAAGACATTAAATTATTTATATATTAAGGCAATCTAATTAAAATCCTAATTCTTAAATTTTATTCTGAATTTATTTAATAATTAATATAATAAAATATATCATACATAATTAAACCTCTAATGTATAGGTAAGAACCAAAATATGTTTTAATGCATGATATAATTTAATGCTAAATCAATGAATAAATCATTTTAAAATTAATATACATGGCAGCTTCATTTTATTTTAAATATATATCATACACACATAATTAAATCTTTAATATATAGGTAAGATATGATTTAATGCATGATATAATATATATAATGCTACATAAATCATTTTAAAATTAATATTAATACATGGCAGCATCATTTTAAAATTAATATATATACATGGCAGCATCATTTTATTTACATATATATCATACACACTTAAATAAATATCATTCTAATGTATAAGTTAAATTCTTACTTTAAAGTATTTTAAAATTAATAAAGATGTTTCATTAACATATAATGTAAATAATTTAAAAAAATTTTCTCAAGTTTATTATTATTTAACTAAAGAAATACCATGGCATAAATTTAAAGATTATAAAAAAAATCATTTTACAGAGATATATGATATAACAAAGGATTAAAATACTTGATTAGGGCATAATCCTGAAAATAATCTTGATCCTTTAATTAAATAATCTGTTAATTTAGCTTCTTGAATAGGAGAAAATACTGATCTGTAAAGATATCGCTCTTGAAAATCTTCATTTCTTTTGAACAATTTATTATACTTCTTAATGCTTAGTTTCTTAAATATATACTAATTTAAATATATAAATATACCTCCCATAACTTAAATTCGTATTCATGGTTATAACTGTCAAAGGTATCTTATATTTCAGCATTTGAAGAATACTTGCCTTTTGATTATCATTATTTTCTTTGTTAGTTTTTCTAATATATGTTCGAACCATTTTACAAAATCAGAACCAATATTTTAATGAATGTATGTAAAAGGAAAAGACGCACCCCGCTAATACCTTCCCCAGGTCCACAGGATCATTTAAAAATTAAATTTAGAATATTAAAATAACATAATGATTGTCAATATTTTTATATATGATAAAATGGAGATTTTTTTATCATTTAGAATTTATATTAAGTCTGAACAACTTTTATAAAAAAAGTTATTCGTGAAAATGTAAAATTTAAAAAAGTTACTTTGGGTATGTTGAAACTTAAATTTGCATTTAAAATTTTTCATGAGCAATTTTGTCCGAAACAATTTTGGACCTACTTAAGCACCTTATTATAATACATATTGGGCTTAAATTACAAATCTTAAACTTTATTAATTTTTAAATTATTTGAGAAGGAAATACCTACCCCGGGAACACACTATCCCCGGTCTCCCCTAGTAAATTTTTATTAAAGATAATACTTAAGTAAATTTATATTTTTCCTTTCTAACGATTTATTACAAACCGGTCGGACAACTTAGTTTGTATGTGTAGATAATTTTTCAAATAATTATAAGTTTTTATTAGAATTGAATATTTATATAGTTTAAACTCATTGATACAGAAATATTTGTTTCTTTCTTCACTCCATTTTTTCTGCATTTATATATATTTTTAAATCTTAAAAAATTTTTTTTTGAAGAATCTTATTATGAAAACACCGGATCTCAGCTTAACTTTCAGAATCCCTGTTCAAATATAAACAACTTGGACCTTAACCAAGCTTCCATTCATAGTAGCTCGTCTAACCGCAATAATCACAAGCAAATTGTTTACAACAAAAAGGAAAATAATTCACTCTCTAATAACTCGTCAAAGTCTCATAATTTCCATTCAATAAATAATCAAAATAATAGTAATAATCATGGCAGTAATTTCAATCATAACAATAATAATAATGGTAGTAATAATAAAAGGAAAAGAACGTCTATTGCAGCCCCCGAAAAAAGATCTCTAGAAGCATATTTCTCGGTTCAACCCAGGCCCTCGGGAGATAAAATAAGCGCAATCGCTGATAAATTAGAGTTAAAGAAGAATGTAGTCAGGGTTTGGTTTTGTAATCAGAGGCAAAAACAAAAGAGAATGAAATTTTCAGCTGCCAATAAAGCCAACGACCTTATGTAAAATGAATAATTTTTGAGAAAGTAAAAAAGAAAACATTAATTTTATCTCATAAGTATGATATTGGTTGAAAAATTAAAAGAGGGATTTTAAAGGATAATTTCATAATTTTTCGTAATGTAAAAAATTGTGTATTTCCTCCATAATAACTTTTAATGTGTAAAAATTGTGTTTTCCCTTATTAGGTTGTTAAATGTGAATAATGTTTATTCGAAAAAAAGTAAACTCGTTCACACTATAAAAAAAAAAATACATTTTTTAAAGATATATACAAAGATCAAATTGTTATGAATTATTTATATATTAGAGACTAACATTTTAGCATATAAATTGTGCAATAAAATTATAAAATCGAAAGTATATATTATTTGAATTCTTTATAATATGAATTTTGGAAACGATTAATTGTATACCATCTTTTTTTTCTCAATAATTTTTTTTAAGCCCTTGGCACCTAATCTACAATATTCAAACAAAGAAATGTATATTATATCTCAGTGAATTCGTTATTAAACCAATAAGAGTTTAATTTTGAGCTGCTATCTATTCTAAATAATTGTCATAATAGTTGTAATATAAATGATTTTTCTTGATTCAAAAAAAATAATATACACTTTTAAATTAAGTGCTACATTTCTATGATTATTTATTTTTTCGATATTTATTTAATAAATATAAAAAACATCTATCCAAGATAAATAATAGGTCATAAAACAATTAACATATTATACAATTAGTTAAATTCATATTTTATGTAATTGTATTTATAAGCTCGATAATAAATATGTTATTAGTTATCCTTTAAGCAAATTAAATGTAGTTATTTATGATATATAATAAACTAATTATAACAGATCTTGAGTTTCATATCTTTACCCTTATGACTTAACAGTAGCCTCACAAGGGAGGGGGTACACAGAGGAGCAAGCCCCCTAAAAAATTTGAAGATCCCTCTGAAAATTTTTATTTTTTTTAAAAAATACCCTTTTTAAAAAAAATTTTGAGCCCTCAGAAAGCATAAAATAAGTAAAAAAATATATAATACTTGCTTGGCATGATAGCAGTAACATAACTACTGGGAAGGGGAAAGGAGTTTGTCACATTGTTTCTAATGATTGCTCCTCTATATACCAATATTTATATTTACCTAATATTTTTTTGAATTACCTGTTTATGCCATTTTTTTAGTCTTGTAAAATAAGCAAATAATTTTATCCTCCACTATCATTTTCATTATTGTAAAATAAATGATTAGACCGTATAAATTTTAGAATCTCAGTAATAATTATCCTTGGAACTAGCCAAAATGTTTTAGGTTCTGAATATTTTTTAAAAAGGGTCCGGTTTCCATAATTTTTAAAAGTAAGTTCTGTTTACGGTTTCTAAATTTTATGCGGTTCTAAGGGCTCCAGGTTCTGACTCTGGTTTAAACTTTATTATTTTAAACAGTATATTTATAATTTGTACTTTTTTTAGAACCGGTTCCAGTTTCTGAAAATTTTAAAATGGGTTCCGGAATTGGTTTATATTCCTATATTTATTCTGGTTTCGACGGTTCTGGTTCCGAGGACTGTAAGGATTTCAGATTCTTATGAATTTATTTGATTTGTCAGTTACTTTACTATTATTTTAATTATATTACAAGTCAATATTTAAATTTTTTTACTAGTGAAATAAATTTAATAATCAGGTAGTTAACCTTACCTAATATCTACATATCCAATACCCAATTCAGGCATCTGTAAATATTGGGGGGAGAGGAGGGGAGCGTTATCCTAATGCATTGGCTAGTCACTTCTCCACATCGGTCAGTGTTAATTTTTATCTGTTTTTGTGTATATTTTATTAAAATAAAAGTATATAAGTCATTTTTTCTTAAAATTAAATTATCTCTAATTAAAAATGATTAATTATTTTTAATTTTAGAAATTTTGACTTTTAGTGCTCTAAATTTCTGTCTCAAATGGAATTTTAATTTGGCCAAGAAAATTCCCAGTGTTTTTAGATTATTTTTAATATTAAAAAAGTTCCCTTCTCCAGTTCCCCTCAGTTGATTTGAACATAGTTACGCCATTAGACCTTTTTGATTTATGAAATCGCAATTTTAATAATATAATTACCAATAAAATTAATGTTACAGCGTTTCTTTCAATACGAAATGTCTTTCCTTAAATATCTTTTAAAAAAACGCAAATATAATCGCAAAACTAGGGACTTCTACCAAAGGGAGAATGATATGGAGGAGGTATGACACAAGTTAGTCAATTGAAAATAGTGATTTGTATTTTCGTTTTGCTAATATTGATTTGGATCTCCTTATTTTTGCTAATTTTTATTTGGTTAGGCTGTAGGGGGTAAGAAGGGGGCAGGGTGAGTATTATGTAGTGGTTCCTACAACGGAATGCACACGAAGTAAATTCACTAAACTTCAAAGGGATGCATAACATTTGAATGATTGCTTCCTTAAGAAATTTTAAACCTCAGAATAGTACTAATATATTTTGCAATTACTTTTCAAATCTAAATACATAAAAATGATGTTAAAGAAAAAAAATAAAATTGTATGATTTGAGATTCATTAGCCACTACCTTTACCAACAAACAAATCGTTCCAATATTAATGTGGATTCAATTGAGGATTATTATAAAATAACCGTTTTTATTCCACTTTTAGATTTAATTTTGACTCAAATCAATGTTTCCGATTTATCAAACGTCTCTATTCAATTTACTATATTTTATAACTCCTCCTGATCTGAGGATATATCAAATTTTGATTTTAAAAAATTAAATATTTTGTTAAATTTTATTCAAAGGATATAAATGTATTTGAAGGCCAATTAATTTAAGAATTTAAATTGTATGAATGAAAGATTGATTTTTGAAGATAATCTTCCAAGAAATACAGTGAAATTGCATACTTTAAGATAAAATAATTGTATATCTTTTTGGCAATGATACCAATTAGTACAAGCACAAATGATAGGACCTTCTTCTTTACTATCAAAATTAAGACATCTCAAAATTAATTAAATATACTAGCTTTACTTGTTTTGATCTAATCCCCAACATAGAACAATTAAAAAATTGGCCCAATCGCAAAGAAGATTAAATTTTCATTTATGGATGATATTTTGATTAACTTTTTAAATCATTATAAATGTTTAATTTTATATTTTATTGTGATTACTAGTAGCTATAATATTTTATAACCGTGTTATATTTGCTCTTAATATTTTGAATTATCCAATATTTTATTTTTGTGAAATTATCATATTTTTAAATATGATTGGTTTTTCTAATAAATTTTATATGATGAATAATTCTAATAAATTTTATATGATTAGTTCTAATAAATTTTTAATGCGCATAATAAAATTATTTTATTTTAAACCCCCCCCCCCACCCCCCTCTCCTAGAAGATTCTTGGCTACGTGCCTGATCATACACATTCTATTTCCCTGCAAGAATGGTCAAATAAATTTAATCCTATTTGAAAAATACGGAAGTTTTAACTTTCTTGATAAAACCAAATTTTGATCTAGTGGCAGTCAAAATTTTTATGACAGAAGCAAATTTTGTATTGGAGTCCAAAATGCTATGATATAAAAGCTAAAGAATGACAGGACTTTTTAGACTCAGAGAATTGTTTAATTTTTTTTTATAATAATACTGCATTATTTGGATTCGAATGGTGTTGATGATGATCCTAATTCTATAGGTTTTAAACATTATTTTACTTTATTAATTATTTTGTGACTTTTTCGCTTTCCCAAATTAATTAATTTCTTTGTGAGTTTTCTTTCTTTCTCAAATTCATTCATCCTGTAAAAATATTTATAGACAATTCCCAATTATCTCATGTATTACATGTAATTTTTATGTCTTGATTGTAATGATAATTATCACTCCAAGTGGGTGGGTCTAGGTCTTGGAGAGTCAGGAATTTTTTTATCAAACAAAATATTATGGGTATTAAATAAAAGCATTAAAAATGGTTTTGACTCAAACAATGGTATTCACTTTTGATCTTAATGGGTTGAATTTGGTCTGGGAGAAGGGGGGGGGGGGGGATAAATTTTTTTTAATATAGGTATCATATAAAAGGTAATTAATTGATTTTAATGATAATTATTAGTCTTTGTAAAAGATCTAGGCCTGGGGGTGGAGGGGCAGGAATATTTTAATCAACACAAAATATTAACATGGGTATTAAAAATGCTAATTAAAAAATATTTTGACTCAAATAATAGTAATCAATCACTTTGGGTCTTATTTGTTTAAACTGGGGGAAGGTGGAGGGGGTAAAAATAAAATTTGATATGGGTAACAAATAGAAAAGAAAAAATTCATCATCAAATTAAGGATAAAATTCTCATTCCCGGTCATTTTGACGGGACTATATACTATTAATTTAATTTATACAATTTAAAAATTATATTTTTGTTTTTAGTTACATTTTAAATATCATTGCTTTTATTTGTAATAAAGACGACTTTATATTTATAAAATTAAAGGGAGAAATGAACAAATTTTATAAGAGCTGCTGCTTCTTTTTGGAGGGTTATTTGCTACAGGGAAGGAAGGGGGCAAATCTCATTTGTTTAAGGAAGGTTGTAGAAGTCTCCGCGTAAACTTATTACGCAAGATTTCAAATTAAAAGGCGTGATCTTAATAAAATTCTTTATAAATATTTTTAAACCAAATGTTGCTAAGTTTAGTCTCTGTGTAAAGCTAATACGCAAGATTTCAAAATAAAAGACGTGCTCATCTTAATAAGGTTCTTTATAAATATTTTTAAACCTAAAAAAATGTTGCTAAGTTTAAACTATAATTTAAAAGGTACCATGGCTCTTTAAATATTAGGTACATAATCTCAATTTATATTAATATAAAAAATTTAATCATAATATATATTATACACTAATTTATTTAATTAACAAAATATAGAGATTAATTATTAAATTTTTTTATTAATTATAATCTTATCTAATATTTTAGAAAAGAAAAAAATTAATAAATATATATTAATTTTTTATGTTTAAAAAATAATAATTTATAATGATATTTATTTTA